ATAGCGAGGCCCTTCTTTGTAAGTTGGATGGCGTTAAATATCTGTGTATCATCAACGTGAAAACAAGCGCAGTATTTAAGGTTAGTATATTACAATGCATTTAATACAGTTGACTTGTTATTTGGTCAAATTTCCGCTTTGCTGCTTTCAATATTGTACTGTAATTTTATAAATACACTGTACAAATTATGGCGTAATATTTCTAATAATTTAACCCTTTAGTTTGACCCTACTCCGGATGAGTTTGCTAACGAAAACACCCAGCATATGCTTTTGATTTTGGATTTCGATGTGGATCATATATTGACAGCGAATAGAATTGATGATGAACATTCAGATGATGAACATTGGTTCTCAGATGAGTCTGAAGGTATATTGTTATTCAGTTATTTGTATGGTTTTATAAATTTTTGCTGAGTGCGATGCGGCCGATGCCTGTTTGTATCTAGTTGTGGGTGGTTGTTTAAAACTCTTTCTCGACAACCTGTCTCGTATTACATTTCGAATTCAATTTTTCTAATATAAATATCTCGGCGAGTATTTACCCCCCTTTTAAATAAATGCCACCATTGAAATCCTCACAATATAACCTTTCGAACGGGGGGTCAAGTGCCGTCAAAACATTACACAAACCGAAACAATCATATATTTTATACTCACTGCTTCGCCAAACATTCAAAGGAGAAAATGAGAAAAAGTTGAATATATTCTAAACTTTGGTGTCATTTCCTGAAAGGATATGTGTAAAATACTCTTTGTATTCAAGCGCTTTCGTGTAGAAAGTTTCGTATGTATACGCCGAATAGAAATATTTATTTTGAATTTTTAAAGTATCGGGTTTTACTAGCACGCGCTTGTATTACGTAATACTTGGCCAATAAGGAGCTCCCTTTAGCCGGGATGACGTAAAACTCACGCGTATGGGTGCACTTTGACCTGTAGAATCCATTTCTGGCATTTCCAGAGTCACGCGATACAAGCGTCGCATTATTTTGACGGTTTTTCGTCGTATTTCCGGTTGGGATTAACGCATATTCGGAGCAGAAATACAAAATTCGGCACTAAATGTCGAATTTTAAAGATAGAAGCTTGAAAATAACACTATACGTGTTATTTTTAACTGCTTCATACAGCAAGATTATCAGAATGAGCGTACGTCTCAATGGGACGAAGTTATATTCGGCGAAAGGTATGTTTATGTTTATAATTTGTCAGTAATATTGCGTAATTTGATCATATTTATTCATATACGAGCTCGTTTGACTTTCAAAGCTCATAAATCGCTATAATGTTGCCATTCACTAAATCTATCGATAGGAATGAGTAGCTATCGTTACACTGAATCGAATGGTGGTATTTTGGTCCACGTAGCATTTACCGAACTGAAGATATGAACCGCAAAAATGATAAATCTTGAGTGATTTGTTTAATAGGGACCTGTCGGGAAAGAGTTAAATGTGCAAACTGTAATTTAATATTTTTTTTAAAATTTTCATCTAAATATTGCTGTTTGTATATTTTTGCTAATTTTAGAGATGACAGTGTATCAAATAATAATTTCCTTGTTATGATTTTGTAGAAAGAGATTTACTTGAGTGGTTGGCTGGTCTTGAACCTGTTCAAGATGTATATGATAGTGAAAGAGGTGATCAAGGTGATAGGCCAGAAAGTGATGACAAGTTAAGTGATGAAGACGAAAGTGATGGGGAGGAAGAAATTGCCCACTCTGTACCATTCAAGTGCATCGGTGCTGCTCATGAGAAAAACTACTGACATCATTTTGAAAATTAAGGCATAATACCTCGCTCTTCATGAACAAGATAAAACAGTCAATTCAATGTAAGAATACGGCCAGCACCATTGAATCCAAGGGACCCAAGTGCAATGGTCAATTCCAGCTTTTAGGTGATGCATGCAGGGGGTGATGGGAAGTAAGGTTCATATTGCTGATAATGCTAAAAAAATAGAAATGGTGGCCATGTAAACATGGATAGATAGCTATTGTAAATATTGAAATATTTTGGTTGTTTAGGGACCGATCGTTTATTACGTCTCAGGGGGGGCGGTGGTTTTTTTTAAAACATTATCAATAAAATATGCACCCCCCCATATTTTTTGGAAATGAAAAAATGACCCCCCTGTTCAACTATATAGATTAAAATTTAAAAATATACCCCCCCCCCAATTGCACTAGGCATTTCTAGGCATCAAACCTCAGTGCATCAAATATTCAAATTATAAGGCCTCGCGAAATTGCTAATTCAATATAATATCGAGTCATATATAAAAGCAAGATTGCGTATTTTGGCATTCAATACAAAACAGGAAAACGTTATACAAAAATATCATATTAATGAATGATATAAACATGTAAAAGTAAAAATGCAATAATATTTATATATTATTATAGAATGTAGATAAAAAATACCTTTTTTGAAACATTTTCCGCCATGTTTTTTTTAGGTGTAAACCATTGACTGCAATCATTCCGTTCAGCGGAGTCACTAAGGGCCTGTTCATATGATCCCGCTTACCAGGACGTCTCGCTTACCAATGATCTCGCCGCCTATCTATTTTCCTATAAAATTTTGCATTGTGTTCATATGAGAAAGCGACCTGGCCCGCTTGCCGAGATCTCGTTTGAATTTGCCGAGATCATAGGTAGGCGGGATGCAAATTTTTCCATATGAACACGCCAGCCCGCTTACCTGGATGAAGTCAAACAAGTCTTGCCGGTTTAATTTAACACTTTTTACTTGGTTTTATGTTTGTTTTGTAAACAAGTATTAAATAAGCATCTGAAGAAATGCTTTTTCTTGTAAATAAACGAAGAAAAACACTAAAATCGCTAAGTATTTGTGTTGCTTGACTGAAATGTAGAAGTTTTGCATACGCTATTAATTATAGAACTACAATGTAATTTCATCTCGGCAAGCGGGACGAAATATTCCATATGAACGCACGGAAATATTCGTCTCGGTAAGCGAGACGTCCCGGTAAGCGGGATCATATGAACAGGCCCTAAAAACCATTGAACTAAACTTTCAACTATAAAGAGTTGAATGCTAAGAACTAGATTCCAGTCTTCTCTATGCAAAAATTGCACACAATGGCGCAATCTTGCTTGATTAGTTTGTATTTGTTTTTCTTTTTTTCAAATTCAAAATGGTAGATATATTTTGAATTTATCTCATAAACCAAATAAAGTCATTTTAATATGTAAGAATCGTTTGCAATTTCAAAATTTAACCCCCCTCTTTTCCTTTCGGGAAACAAAAAACTACCCCCCCAAAATAACCATATTTAAAAAATTAACCCCCCCTCAAAAACCACCGCCCCCCCTGAGACGTAATAAACGATCGGTCCCTTAGGTAGTTTATTAAAATTTTTCAGCATAATCAGCAATATGATACCTTACTTCCCGTCACCCCCTGCATGCATAAATTAAAAGCTGGAATTGCCTATTGATCTAGACTATGGAACTGTATGGACACATGTTGGTTATATTGCTTCTGAACTATGCAAGTATTTGCACCCACTAATTGCTGCAGATGTCGTGGATTCTATGTTCAGTGTATCAAGTATAGGGTTGACTTTTTTAATTAAAAATAGGATTTTATCCAAACATTTTCATAAACACATCTGGGGCCAGTTGTTCAAAGCTGGGTTAGCGCTAACCCTGGGTTAAAATTTAACCTGCTGTTTTAGTTTGTGTACTTCTACACATAGATCTGTGTATTTCAAAACTTCAGAGAAGTAAACTCCTATCGATCCAGACAAGATCTCTGAAGAAATATTTCCAAATTTATAGAAAAGCTGTCAGGAAGTTTGCTTCGAATTTTAGGTTAACCATGGGTTAAACTAACCCAGCTTTGAACAACCGGCCCCTGATGAGTGGAGACTCGAGTGGTAGGAAAAAGCATGAGTGTATGTTGACAGATGTTTTTTATATAATAAATAGCAACTACCAAGCTATGTTTAGCAAGTTATTAGTGCATTTATTTCAATTGGCTAACTTTTTTAGTTTTTTTTCCAGCATTTTTTAAACAAACCATAGGCTATGAATGATAACTGGGTATATCTAATTAAACCAATCTGTCATGTACAATCATGCAAATAAGACTAAGCACATAAATAACTGTAAAAAATGTACTTTAGTAAATAAATGAATATTTATTCATACACTTGACCTACTTTGTGAGTATTTTTTCAGATTAAAATTAATGCAACAATAAAACAAGAAGATGTCTATTTATATAATATTTATTAAATTGATCAGAGATCCCACTTCAGGCTTCAGCTCAGAAACCACTGCCAGCAGGGAAAGATCCCACAATAACATGCCACTTTAGTAATTTGTTATATGATACATAAAAACTTATTTTATTGCTTTAAAACAAGTGAAGCTCTCTGCTGGCTTGAAATGGGCTGTTATGACACTGATTTGTCCATGCTGAGGATTCCGCAGCTCGATTTGCCACAAAAACCCCAGTATCAGGCGATCAGCTCGTCTTGAAATACGTACACGATCCAGTTGCGTCGGCCAAAGACAATAAAACTTTGAAAATCGCACAGATATAAATTCTAAAAAAATATTTAAACAACTCCTAAGTCTTCTAAATAATATTTTAGCACTTTAACAAAAATTCATTGAAAATATCATCTTTGATGGCGCATTTTCTTTCCAAGGTATTAGACGCCATTTTAGCGAACGTCGAGTTGACAATAGTCACTTCAACGGTCAATATCTCGAAAACTGCCGGGGGATCACCGGGATCATTCCAGCAGATTTAAAGCTTATATATTTTGCTTGACGACTACCAAAAATGAAGAAAATCGAACCATGGGAATTCTAGATATTTCATTTTAAACATCGTAAACATATTTAGACTTGAGTCAACACGTCGCGGGGAGTCGACTAACTTCAAACATCAAAATAACATTGAAAATAACATTTACCTCAGAGATTTTTGCAGATATCACCAGATCTTTAGCAGTAGTACTACTACACTTGAAATTTTGCAAGAAAATTTTAATATTAATATTTTTTTCCGATTTATTTTCCGTTGAATGCAAATTTTTCTGTCCAAATTCTGCAGATAACACGATGGAAAATAGAGCGATCTCATTGGTCGAGAGCTCACGTGGCAACTCGCTAATTGCTTGTCGTACCTCCTCTGATATTTGTGCAAGATATAATAATATTCAAGGTAAAAAATACTATCAGTTACATAGGTATACCAGTGCAATTTCATAGATATAGCCTGTGGGATAACAGGATCATCTCAGTAATATTTTTAATTTAATATTTAAATTTTATGATAATATTTGTATTTATAGTATGTATAGTACAGTTCATACTGCAGAACTTCTTCTTTATCGTATAGATAATAATAGATTTATAGAAACAATTGTGACAAAAGTAGCTTGGCAAATACAAAATATTGAGAAACTAGCACGTATAAGTATAAACTACACGCGTTATTATTGCGCCTTTGGCTTTGAACAATTATTCGCCAAGGCGAGGCCGTGATTATCGGGGAATTTGTAGTCTCCCTCGCAGCCGCCAGTTGTGTCAAATTTGACCAATCAACTTGACAACTTGTAGGATTTGTTATATATTTATTCACTTGCGCAAAAATACTAATAGTACTAATACTAGACGGTATTGTTCATCTTTGCATAATAGTTTACACCGGTTTAGCGCCTGCCTAAATAGGCTGTGTTTACAATGCATTTTGTCTGTGTCAGTTTTAGCTTTTCATAAATGTTTCAGCCATACTGAACACGAAAACTCTCATAGTCATCATACTTTATACAATACGAATGTATGATACATGCATTATTAATTGGTAGTACTGATTACTTTATGATAATCTACTATACAGGGTGTATAAAAAAAAACGCAACCTCGGAATTTCCTAAGAAATCACTTTGCAATTCTTAAGCATAAAAGATTTTACGCCCCTGGGAATTGAAATCGAATTGCTAATTGATCATATTACTGTTGTTGTGCATTAAATAAATGCATAAATTTTGCTTTATGCACTCGCGTGTGCAGTAATTTTGACAGTTGTGCTATTTTAAATTCCCAGGCGCCTAAAATCTTTTGTCTTTAAAACAATGTCGATTTCTTGGGAAATTCCGAGGTTGAAACTCCTACCATCGGTCAGTCAACGACAGATGTGGTCAACGATGTCTGTACTGAGGATAAGTCATATTCCAAATCAACAGTCGGTAATCCCCAAGAATTACTGTTGGAAAAGGAAAAGAAGATTCTGAGAATTCGGTGGAACTATGTCAGTGACACATTTATGTTCAATTTTCAGCGAATTGTCCAAGCAGCTCGAGAACTTGAGCCTACGAAGCGAAATGTCATTGGCATCATATCTCGTTTCTATGACCCGTTGAGAGTTCTCGCATCCATAACAGTCAAATTAAAGATGTTCTTTCAGGAGCTATGCCAATCTAAAGTTGAATGGGACAAAGAATTATCAAGCGAACTAAAGAAGAAGTGGGAGCATCTTATCCTAGACTTGGAAAATATAAAATCGACCCTGATACTGAGATGTTATCAAGCGGGAATCGAAGAAAGGGTTCTTTCTTACAGCCTCCAAGGATTTGGCGACGCATCCCTTAAAGCCAATGGAGCTGTTGTTTATCTGAAAATGACTAGCTCACTTGGAACATTTATAAGATTTGTTATTGCCAAAACAAGAGTCTCTCCAATTAACAAACAAACCATTCCAAGATTAGAATTTCTTTCAGCAGTCATACTAGCAAGACTTATTTCAACCGTTACAAGGGCTCTGAACGAAACCCTAAAGCTTGATGATCCAACCTGTTGGACTGATTCTAAGATAGCACTGTACTGGATACTTGGTGAAACCCAAGAATGGAAACAGTTCATTCAAAATCGTGTCGTTGAGATAAGAAAATTGGTACCATTGAAATGCTGGAGACATTGCGCCGGAAAAGTAAATCCTGCGGACATTGCTTCTAGAGGAGCAACCTCTAGAAGCAGGCGCACTTCAAACCTGGTTAAATGGTCCTCAATGGATGTTCAAGGATATCGAAATCGAGGGAGTTGAGGGGAAGAATAATGAAGAATGTCCGGAAGAATGTATTACAGAAATGAAAGCCAACGAACGAAAGGCATTTCAGAACACTTGTTTACTCATATGCACCGAAACAAGTTACCAGATCCAGAGCATTATTGACGTACGAAGATTTAGCAGTTACTAGAAGCTTATTACCGTTACATCAATGGTTTTACGATTTATTCGACGAGTGAAGAAAGCCCATTTAAGAGCCGAAGAGAATAAGAAATCTGAAGCTGAAATCGCTGAAATTTTATGGTTTAAACAAATCCAGTTAGATCTTCCAAATCACCCTTCGTTTGAAACGTGGAAAAAACAGTTTGGATTATTCTGGGATAAGATTGGAATCATTAAGTGCAAGGGAAGAATTTCGAAATCGAACATTCCTGACGAAACCAAACATCCAATTCTATTGAACAAAGAATAGATTAACCGAGTTCATTGTTAAGGAATCCCACAATCGCGTGTTTCATAACGGTGTTAAAGAGACACTTACAGAACTACGCTCGAAGTTTTGGATAATTCGTGGCAGACAATTTGTAAGGAAGTTAAGTTAATTCACAGGTGCGTGGTTTGCAAGAAACACGAGGGTAAACCCTATTCCCTACCTGCCTCCCCAGCTTTGCCAGAATTTCGAACACAACGACAAGCACCCTTTGCCTCGACTGGAGTTGATTTTGCTTGGCCGCTATATGTCAAAGAATCAAAGAAGAGAAAGACACAAACAAAGACCTGGATCGCCCTTTATACATGCGCTGTCACGAGAGCTCTCCATTTGGAACTCGTTTCGGACATGACTAGTGAATCTTTCCTATTGTGTTTTCGACGATTCTGTGCGAGAAGAGAACTTCCCAAGAGAATGATTTCTGATAACGCCAAGACGTTTGTAACTGCGTCCCGAAGATTAAAGGCTTTATTTCAACTTCCCGAAGTTCGACATCATATGGAGATCAAACGGATTGAGTGGTCATTCAACACTCCTAAGGCCCTTTGGCAAGGAGGATTCTACGAACGATTAGTTAAGTCAGTAAAGCGGTGTCTGAAGAAAATGCACGGGAAGGCATGTGTCACCTATGAGGAACTACTAACTATACTTACAGAGATCGAGTGTATCTTAAATTCAAGACCGTTAACTTATGTTTCTACCGAAGATCTCGAGGAACCTTTAACGCCATCACACCTACTTTGTGGAAGACGAATTTTATCTGTGCCATCTGGCGATATATCTGAGCTAATGGATCCTGACTGGAACCCTAAATCGGAAGAATTCACTAAACGTGTTGTTTATTTACAGAAGTTGATTGACAAATTTTGGAACAGATGGTCGAAGGAATATCTGTTAGAGCTACGAGAATCTCATCGTAACACTTCCCAGAATTCGTTGTCTCAAGAAATAAGCGTAGGAGAAATGGTTTTAGTACATCAAGATAATCAGCGTCGGGGATCGTGGAAATTGGGAAAGGTTGACAAACTGATTAAGGGTGATGACCACAAAGTTAGATCTGCAATTGTAAAGGTTAATGGAGAAGGAAAGAAAGCAAACCAGTTGAAGAGACCTATCAATAAACTATATTCATTGGAAGTAAGATCGCAAGACGAAGACAAATCAAACTCAGCGAATGTACCCGAGACGCAAGCCAATATAGAACAGTTGGTTCAGGATCAACAGTAGACTACACCGCGAAGAAGAGCTGCAGCAATGGCAGATATGATCAGGAAGCAATGGATAAGAGATGAGTACATTTAATAACTTTAATGATGTGCAAGTTAATTAATTTAACCTTGACATTTTGTTTATAGTTTAATGTTGACCAGAACTTGTATGTTTGGTACAGGTCAACGAGGGGAGTATGACGTATTTTTGTATGTTTTCACCTTAACCTAAGTGTAGCGCGCACGAGAACACGCGAGAAGCCACGCGTTGCGAGAAACACGTTGTTATGAATTGAACAGTCGCCATTACGATAGTTTTCGGATATATTCCTCGTGAATTTGTTGTATATATGTTAATAAAATAAGTATTCTAAACGATTTGGAGCCTTTTGAACCTAAATTCTCTTACACGTTGTAAGGTGGGTTAAGTGGGATAAAGGACGTTCAAAGCATGCCAAAGCAGATGTAATCCGGCCTAGTTTGGTCTAAGTAGGGTAAAGCATGGTTAAAGTATGTCAAAGTCGTTGTAAGGTGGGTTAAGTGGGGTAAAGGAAGTTGAAAGCATGCCAACGCAGTTGTAATTTGGCATAAGTCGATCTAAGTAGGGTAAAGCATGGTTAAAGTATGTCAAAGTCATTGTAAGGTGGGTTAAGTCGGGTAAAAGAAGTTGAACAGCATATCAAAGCAGTTGTAATCCGGCCTAAGTCGGTCTCAGTAGGGCAAAGCATGGTTAAAGTATGTCAAAGCAGGTCAAAGTCATTGTAAGGTGGGTTAAGTCGGGTAAAAGAAGTTGAACAGCATGCCAAAGCAGTTGTAATCCGGCCTAAGTTGGTCTATGTCGAGTAAAGCATGCCTAAAGTATGTCAAAGTCGTTGTAAGGTGGGTTAAATTGGGTAAAGGAAATTTAACAGCATCGGAATAAGATAATATATACGGATCCACTATATCCCTACAAGACTTAGGGCCTGCTCATATGGGCAAAAGTTATCCCGGTTAACGAGAAAACTTTTCGACTAGCCAAATACTTTTGTTCTGTTCATATGGAGAAACTTTATCCCGCTTACCGGGTAAAGTTTTCGGCTGTGACGTGGCACTGAACATCAATTGAATTGAAAAGTTGCTGACACGACAGAAAGTTATCCCGCTAAGCGGGAAAGTTGTGTTCATATGGGAAAAACATTATCCCGGTCACCACCGAGATCTCGCCTGTCAACAAGCGAGATCTCGGTACACGGGAAAACTTTTTGTCTCATATGAACGCAGTGTAACTTTTCATATTATTTTCATACCAAGGCGAGATCTCGCTTGTAAATACCTGTTCATATGGGCAAAAGTTATCCCGGTTAGCGAGAAAACGTTTCGACAAGTTTACAAGCGAGATCTCGCCTTGGTATGAAAATAATATGAAAAGTTACACTGCGTTCATATGAGACAAAAAGTTTTCCCGTGTACCGAGATCTCGCTTGTTGACAGTCGAGATCTTGGTGACCGGGATAATGTTTTCCCATATGAACACAACTTTCTCGCTTAGCGGGATAACTTTCTGTCGTGTCAGCAACTTTTCAATTCAATTGATGTTCAGTGCCACGTCACAGCCGAAAACTTTATCCGGTAAGCGGGATAAAGTTTCTCCATATGAAGAGAACAAAAGTATTTGGTTAGAACAGGCCCTAAGTCATAGATTGACTAAGTACTTACCGACTTGAAAGTCGGTTATGCTCACTGATCTAAAATAACACTGGATAACGCATCTATAGTATACAAAAGTGAAGCCGGAAGTCACCGGCCGCCACCCGATTCTGGGGCCGCACTTTTGTATAGATGTGTATTAACAGACGGTAGTTTTTCGCGTGTTTTGCCTTGACTACGTTTCCGACCGGGCCAATTTTACAATCACAAAGATAGAAGCATATAAGAAGAATTTTGAGCAAAAAATTTGGAGTATTATGGCTTTATAACGCCGCGAAACGGGATTTACAACTCTGAAGGAGTGGAGAGCCTCAGACTGTGTTTGTCAACACGAGCCACAGGGGGCAGAAAAGTACGATTGTGTTTTATAAATACCTTGTCATCAACCAATATCCCATATTTATATTACAACAATCCGCAGACATAGTCATAAAAGGATCAAAATTAGCTGATTTTTATTTTTTCGATAATATCATGCCTTCTACTTCATGTAATTCAAAATATTGCATTGCAACGACAATTTCCGAACATCTTACGAAAGGATGCCGAGGGTGTAACCCGTACATAAATAAGAAAAGGATGAAACGCCGAAAATCTTTCGTTCAATGTGCACCCAACAACTGGTGACGGAAGTAAATTCGACATTGTAACCGGAAGTAGAACGGAAGTTGAAGGAAAATTGACCTATCATCTTCCATGACCTTTTAATCGAATTAACGGTTAATAATTTGAATGCAGCGCTTCCACTTTGAAGGAAATTTCCTTTTGAAAGGAAATTTTTGCAACATGAAGGAAATTTGAAGGAAATAAATTTTGAGGGAAATGTGAAGGAAATTCTAGAAGAACGAAGGAAATTTGAAGGAAAAAGCAAAATTTCACCAAAATTGATAATATTTAATATATTTTGAAAATAAAGCGTAAAATAAGCCTCAATCTGGGCACAATTTAACAGAGA